CGGCGGCGGCGGCGGCGAAGGTTTATTGATCTGCAGCGGCGGAGAAGAGCGAGAGACCCGCCGAAAGCGAGGCACAGGGATGGAGTGAGACACAGACACACGGGAGAGGAACAGAGACGGATTCCCCGGGAAGGGAGAGGGCGGAGCGTCGGGAGAGAGAACCAGAAACCGAGAGAGGGGAGAGGAGACTGGGAACCGGGGCTTGGAAAACGGGAGAGACCCAGAGGCCATCCGAGAGGCCCACAGATAGTAGAGATGAAGCCCTCGAGAAAGGCAGAGGGGAGAATCAGGGACGCAGGAGGATGCAGGGCAGGAAGTCGGAGCCAGAGAACACAGAGAAGACCATCAGGGACGTAGTAGAACCTCAATAAATATTTGTTGAATGAATGTGTGAATGAAAGAGATCCGCAACAGAAACATTTCAGATAGACAGGTAAGGGGACAGCTAGAGAATGGTGTTCCTAGGCTTCTTGAGACAGAGTACTAACGCCTCCTTAGATCTGCAAAGAAATGAAGCACAAGGCAGGGGCAATATATTTGGCCATCAGACTCACACCCCTCCCAAATCAATTCTGGGCTCAGGGGGCCCCTCAACTTCACATTCTCATGCTTCCCTCCAACACAGTCCTTCCACCCCTAGTTTCTGGGGCGCGCAGGGAACAGGTCTTGCCTATTCCGGGGGCCTAAGCAGAGGGGCTGAATGGGGGCCAGAGGGCTAGGTCATGGCTGCTGTGCAGAGGGTACTGCCCCCGGGTCTGTCAAAGGAGGCCGCTGCACGTGTCCCACCAGCACTCTCTCACGTGACCCTCAGGAGGCGGGGTCGTGAGACCCTCCCCACGTGACCCCAAGGGGCAGAGACCCTCCGCACGTGATGGGAGGTGGGAGCCAGGAGCCAGCTCACGTGACCGGGGGGAGGGGGCGCGGGAGCCTGTGGCTCGGCCCGGCCCCGCCCCCAGCTCCCCGGCCCTCTCCACTCCCGGCTCCGGAGCACGTCGCTCTCACGATTTATGGGGCCGCGGCTGCCGCAGTGAGGGAGCCGGGGAGCCCGGGCGCAGCGGCAACAAAGGCCCGGGAAGCGAGGCGGGGGCGGCGGCAGCCTCTCGGCCGGGTGCGTGCCCCCTCCTACCTGGCCGGTCCAGGCCCGCACGGGAGTGGAGCAGGCAGAAAGGAGGCTCTCGGAACCCGCACCCCACCCCCTTCCGGAGCTTTCACCTGCGCCCAGGTGTGCGCGGGGGAGGACAGTCGGCTCAACCCCCAGGCCATCCCGCACCTCTCCGCCCCGGCTTCCCCTAAGAACGTGGGGTGCCCGAGGGTGCGGGGAACCCGGGCCCCTCACCTGCGAGCTCTCCACTCCCGGCCAGACTCGGCCCGAGCGGGGGTCGGACGTGGGAGTCTGGGGGAGGGGGCGAGCTAGATCCAGCCGAGAAGTCAGCCCTCGGCGCCCCCGGGAGATCCTGGAGTCCCGCTCCGGGGGGGAGGGGCCGCATCCCCACCCCCGAGGTTTCCATGGGAAGCGAGAGGGGGGCGTCGTTGGCTCATCCCCACCCCCAGTCTGACACTCTGGGCGCGAGGAGGGAGAGAGGGGGAGGCGCAGAGCCCCAAACAACAAAGAGCGGAGCGGCGAGCGACAGCCCCTCCCCCGGAAGGTTGGGGGTCGCGGCCGCCAGGCCCTCCCGGTCGTCTCCCCTGGGGTCTCGCCATTTGCTCCCTGGTCGCCCCCAGGATGGGGAGCTAGAGATCGCGCTGCCGCCACCGCCCGGGCAGGTGTGACAGTGACCCCCCACGTCCCCAGGGATCCCCCTACCCACACACAGACACACACGGAGGCGGCCAAGGGTGATACACACGGCGGCTCCGCGGGGAGGAGAAGACAAGGGCAGCGAGGACTGAGCAGAACGGGGACCCGGCCCCGCAGCCGGCCCCCGTCCGCCGCGCCACACACCCCGGGAAACCACACGGCGGCCCCGACACTCGTCCAGACCGCGGCGGCGCCAACAGCCACCCCAACCCAGACGCGGCCGGCCACGCGGACCGGGACCGCAGCCCCCTCCCCAATCCGCCGCCCGCTCCCACCCCCAGACGATCGCCGACGCAGACACACAAATCACACTCAGACACACACGCACACTGACAGCCGCGCACGCCCGCTCACACTTGGTGCCATACGCCGATCCCGGCCCGGGAGTGTGTGTGTTGCGTGTGTGACACGCCGACATCTCCTCCCTTCTCTCCCCGGTACCCCACGTACCGTCCTAACCAAGCAGCAGTCCCCAACTCGGCGACCCAGCCCCGGTACACCCTAGCGGGTCTATCCGCACCAGCAAGGCGGCCCACTCCCCTGGGTTCCGGGGAGGCGCTGGGTCGTACTCCCCGCCTCAGCTCGGTACCCCACTTTTAAAAGCAAGAGTACTAGGCAGCACCCCTTGAAACCCTCATGGCCGAAAACAGGTCATCCCTGGGCCCCTAAATGCGGCGGCCTATCCCCGGCACCCCAGCGCCCCAGATGCCAGCCCGACCTACGGGAGTGCAGATGCGGGGGTACGGGACAGGGGCACGCTGCTCCCGAGGAGGGTGGGGAGAGGCCAGCGTGGGGTGGGGGCCCCCAGACTCCTCCGCACGGCCTGAGCGCGCCTTACTACACACCAGCAGCCTCGCAGACGGCCCCCCGAGTTTCACAGACGCCCACGGAGTGCATCCCCCTCTCCCTCGCTTCCCAGCCCCCAGCTCGGCTCTCCCAGGACTCCCACCCGCTGCTCCCCCAGGACTTCCTGGGCCCCCCAACTCCCCTCTGGCTGACGCGGGACTTCCCGGGCCCCCGACTCACTGCTGGTTGGAGCTGTTCCAGTACACCGCATGCCGGTTCCCCAGCGCCCCCCCGGGCCCCTGGGCCAGC